CGGCCCATGACCGCTCCATGCAGGAGGGTCAACTGGAAATTGACTGGGAGCTGGCCAAGAAGCGGAACGAAGTGCTAGATGAGGAGCGACGGGTGCGCGACAAGGATCGGAGGGAAGAGAAGCGGCTGGCTCATGAATGGCGGGCCGAGGAAGCGCGTCGATACGAGGCCAGCCAGAAGCAACTCGCAGAAGACAGGAAAGTTCAAGATGATGCTCGTAGGGATCAGGAAAGGGATGCCCGGTTGTTCCAGGCGGCGATGATGAGCATGTTGGGGGTTCAGGAGCCCATTCCGAGGTGCAACCAGGCCTAGGGCTTCAACAGGGATTCTTCTATGGGTGTTTCCCCTGGTAGCAATAGTGATATGTTCTTGGCTCATTTCTCTAGGCCATTCGGCCCATGATCCTGCCCTTGTGATTTGTTTTCCTTCATGAACCTGCCCTTGTGAATTGTTTTCCTTGACTGATTTCTCTAGGCTATTTGGCTCCTTGATTGCCTTGCAATTCAGCCCTTGTCTACTTGATCCCCCTAATCCCCAATGGAAGATGATGCAGGATGCCCATCAGGCCATATTTGCTCCGCTTCGACTGCCGTTTGAAAAGCTGTACAAGTTAGGGCTGACCACGCACAAGCGCGGGGCCTAACTAGTATCCCTCGTGAACTCGCCCCTGTCCAACTGCAGAGGTCGGACCGAACCAAAGAGCACACTATCATGTCAAATATGCCTGATCACGACCAACCCATCCCCGACAGTGATATCACCCAAACCACAATGCTTAACACCCAAGTCCGCCGGGAGAAAGAGGCACATGGCATTGGGGACTGCACAGGAACTGGGCGCCCCCTCTCTCACAGAACGATACAAGCGGAACCGCATGCGACGCGAATGGGTGAGTGTGTACTTTTTTTCACATCCAAACCTGCAGGATTCCGCTGAGACTGTGAAACACTCGACCAGCTACACGAGGCCACTCCCGGGGCACAAAGCTTTGGCAGGCCTCTGGCGGACGAGGAACGGACCCTGGCGGATGATTCAACCATAGGTCCCGAGGAACCTGATGCCTCGTCAGACGCACCTAGCGTCCCGGTACCCGACACGCCGGAGAACTCTTTGAACCTCTCATCATGGGGACAGTTCGACTCAGCCAATGGCTTGGCCCTTCATACCCACACGACCGAGGCAGGACCCAGCCCAGGCAACCTCAGTCCACTTGGGACCACTCGATCTGGATCTCCTTTGGCTGCCTCATCAGGAGAAGACCCGACCGGGGTGATTCATTGTCCCATTGGCCAATGATGCACATTGGCAAGCGTGTTCTAACCCTATCAGAATGTTGTTAACGCTATCAGAATGTTGTTCTACAATGGTGCTTAGTTGTCATAGCTTGTTATTTATTTCATAGAACAAGTAGTATAGGCCTAGTAATCAGATTGCTAGATCAACATAATTGGTCCCGAAGCATATCACGGATGGCCAACATAGACACCTGGCCTTCATCCGCCACGCGCCTCCTGCCCCCCTCGCCTCGTTCATTGGGTAGTTCATTGAATACTTGCTCTGCCGGATTGCGCGCATCCCATGCCTGGAGATACAGGGAGCCCCGTTTGTTGAGCAGATTATGGAGGATCATGCAAGCAAATGTGTTATTCCTTGCCCGAAGCGGCCGGGCCATCTGTGCATGTAAGAGGATCCGGAAGCGATTCTTCAGGCGCCCAAACGACTGTTCGACTATGATCCGAGTGGACTGAAATTGAATTCCTCGTTTTTGGCGGTAGCAGTTGACGGGTATGGTATGAGAACTCGCACATTTGAAGGATATCCGGCATCACCAATGAGGTAGGTCCCATGGGGGATCATTGGCTCGGCCGCCGTCCCATTTGTGATGCTATGCCCCAGCTCGGACCGCCAGAATAGGCGCCCGTCGTGCATGGAGCCGGGTGCTCCCCCACTCACCTGTGACCAATCACATCAATAACTGGGGAGGCTGACATCATAGAGCCAAGCAGATGAAACTTACATTGCAGAAATTACCATCGCCGTCGACCACGCATTGGAAGACAATCGAGGCCCAACTTTTTCGATTAATGTAACCCTTCCATCGGTCATCCGCTGGGGTGGCCAAAGGGATGTGCGTGCCATCTATAGCCCCTACAATATAAGGGTTTCCATGCTTAGCCTCAAAGGAAGCACTGATTTCGTCCCACTGATCTCCGCGTGCCAAAGGGGGATAGCTGCAGACCAAAGTAAGTGGAGATCAGATACCGCCCAGCCCAAACACAGACTAAAAAATTTAACTGACCAGATGGCTACCCGCCGGAACCTCGCCAGCACCGCGTTAACAAATCGGCCGGCCGCCTTGTCGGCCGTCTCCTTGCCAATACTGAAGACATGCCCAATTGTCACATAACTAGAACCATGCCCCAGTCGATACAACCCAACAGCCACCTGGGCTTCAACAGATGGGGGATTGCCTCGGCGCAACGGATCCTGCTGCAAGAGGTCCCGCAAGCTGTCACTCAACCACCGGAAATCCTCGATGGACATCCTGAATAGTTCGATGAACCGAGTTGCAGGGATTCTTGGATCTGTCCACGGCTCCCATCGATCGGGCCTGGTGAAAGCCTCACGGCGAGCTTGGATGTAGATTGTTTCAGGTCAACATTGAAGGCCTTGCGTCAGGAGCCACAAGGCTATCAGATTGTCGGTCATATACCCCAGGATGTTCATGGTGTGCGACGGGTTGTGTGACGGGTCATACCGGCTTCCCGCCTGCTCATCGATATGGGTGAATGACCCCAGACAGGGGTTAATTGCCTGGCCGAGGTATGGGAACAAATAGGTCTGTAGTCAAACCTAACTGTGCCGGAGGCCTGGGCATACAGACCCGGGTTTCATCTTAAAAATCATATCCAACCCACCCCTCAGCCATTTCCCCAACTACCCCATTCCCTCCCCGACAGACCATGGCACTCCCCTGGGAGACAGATGGCGGAGTCGACGGCCGCCCAAATAGCATCGAAGTCCTACTTGATTGGTTAACTGTGCCAGGGAACTATACCAGGTGGTGCAATGCCAAGCAGAAGGCCCCACTGACCAAGGAAATCCACCAGGTAATGATCCAAAGAGGAATCCTCCATTGGAACCCACATGGTAAGTCGCACTCTGCTCCCCAGCCGAACTTGCACCTCAGGCTGATAGATAGAATGACTAGGCATCTCGCTGAAGATATACATGCTCCATGAAGGATACAAGCATGCATGCCACTATCGACGGCAGACCCCCGCGGCCCTTCAAAAGCGATTCCTCAATGGGTACCTCTCATTTGCAGGTACACCATAAGCTCGTCATCTTCAATAATCTTAAGTAAACAGACTGACCACCCCGAACAGGTTATACCAATATGATTTGCCGTGACTGGGCCCGACTCAAACAGATATTTGGTCTGCCTAATGACCTTCCGAACGACGCAATTGACCCAGATCCTTCAGCCAGACAAAGGATCATGATCAACACAGACGCAGGCTCCCAGGTCGTCAAATTTGTTGATGAAATCCACAGTCAGTATCATGAAATTTTGCACCAGACCCCAGGATTTGTCTCATGGTCCACCTACTTCAAGAACAAAGAAGCCAATCGAAGCGAATTCCCCCTCTTGACCGGCTTAGACAATGAGGTCATCCTACAAAAATATAATACCCTAACCATGGGTTCCAGCCAAACCCAGCCTCATTTTCCCTACTGAAGACGAGCTTATTGCCTTCTCGGATGTTCCTATTCCTATTAGAATCGTTCACCCGCTGTTATTTCTTGTAGATAGCAATAGAGTAGTTTCCTCGATAGCAATAGAGTAGTTTCCTCATCACTCAGTGATAATAGCAAAATGAACATCCCCATCCCCAGGTGCTAACTAAAGAGGCCAACGAGTCCGATGTGCCTTCCTTGTGTGTGGCTATACAATCGGCCGGACCGGATAATTGGTCCCGAGGCCTCTCAAATACCCTGAGAATGTCCCAACAATCCACCACATCCCGCATCCAGCCCCTGCACAGCGGTGGTGTTTATAATTGCATAAAATATCTGAGTCTGTTTTGAAAACTTTTTGAACTTCTTTTGCATTTCTTTTTCATTTCTTTTCCGTTTTTGAATACTTTTCAAATAAAAAAAGCCGAAATCCAAAAAGTTTGTTTATAATCAGGGCCCTAGATTGATTTCAAGGCAATGAGCTTGTTTTCTGGAAGAAAACTTCATCTAATCAAATCAATTGACTCATTGCTGACTTGATTCCATTTATTACTTAGAACAAATCTATTGGAACTTCAGCAGGACATTTTAACCTACTCCCCAAGCGACCTCAAGTCAAAAATTCATTCTCATCATCAATTGGTCCAGTTGACAAAGAGGTATGTATTCTCTCTCATGGCTCAATCTCCTCCCAATGTGATATGTCCTAACTAAAGATCTTTACTGTATTTGCTCATCTTCTCCAACTAGAAAGCAACCGCAACAATTCCTCAACTATTTTTTGATTGCAACAAGCCTTTTTGCTCCTCAATTGCAATAAATTGCTCTTAGTCACACTAGAATTAATCTTGAAGTAAGTTCACCTCTCTAATGCAAATTTTCAAACAACTGAGTCAATCTTGCTTCTCTACTTTGTTTCAGACACTTCCTGGCAACCTCTCTAGGATATCCGTTAACCATTTTTCTCACAAGCTTTATCCAAGGATCAATCAACTCAAGAAACACTTATTATCTTTTCTGGTAAGTTGGATGCTACTTAATACTAATTTCTCTATCTAACTTCATGGTTTCATTTGAATTTTCCACTCTTTCAGATCAAAGTCTGTTTGATAATTGGATAATTGATTGTAAGCAAGGTGTTTGATGACATTTATCAGATTACAATTTTTCCTGCCAATTGAGCCGACTAATCTCAAGCTTTTTTATCCTACCTGTTTGCATTACTAATCATTTGGTTTTATTTTTGATTTAGGCTGGCTTTCCCTCCTCATATTTGATTCAAACAAGCAACTCCGATGCCAGAGAAGCTTGGAACTTCTTCTAAGAATAATGTGGCCCCTGAGGAATGCACGGTTCCTCAGGTCTCACAGGGTTCAAGGAAAAAAGGTCCAGCTTGTGTGAGCAATCCAGTATGTCAACTGGGTAGGTCTCACCCCCCTGGGGATTAATGCACGGTTCCTCAGGTCAGTGAGACTTATAAGGGAGATATTACTGGATTGACCTCTGCTGCAACCAAGAAGTGTTATCAGTCACCTCTGAAGTACAAGTCCAGTACCGAAAAACGGTTGCAAAAACGCAAAGGAAGCTTGCAAAGGATTCTGCCATCATTCCTCACATCACTTATATCTCACCTTCAGAAGATGTTTTCTCCAACAAACCACTTACCACTTTTCCAATTCATGGTAAAAAAAACTAGAAATCTTGTTTGCAGCCAAGGTGGAGTTCCAAACTTCATCATGGAGACTCACTCCTTTGCCAAAGCACCTTCCCCAACCTTTGTCACCCTCTCGGAAATCATCTCTGACCTCTACATGATGGCTCTGAATCGTCAAGATAACAAATCCATGGACGTATGCGGGGAATTGGCTTTTTTCAAGGAACAGATGATAATAAATCAGGAGGTCAGCTCACTATTTTTTATTAATCCCATATCTCCTTTTTTCTAAAATCTCTTCTCTCTGCAGGAACTTACGCAAGGAAACACGGTATCAATGAGGAAGACTCAATTGCAGACAGTACACTCTGGAAAAAGCTGGAGTTCCACAATGAATTAATAGCTGGACGTATCAAATCTTTATCCCAATCCACTTGGAAAAAAAACCACCAAATCTCTTTGGAACATCAAATTCCCAATTGGAGTCAATAGGAATGACGTGGATTTACGAATGAGCATAACTTTGCCGGGAATGTGATGGTCACATTCAATGATTTTTTCAAGGAAATCCATGCCAATAGAGGTGACCTCAACCCTTGGACCTATGGAATTTTCTCTTACATTGACAAAAAAACAGGAAAACCTATTCCTCCTCCTTCCAATGAGAAGGGGCATGGTTTGCATTTTACACTCCATGCTGCTATCATTGACTTTGCCCATGCCAATGGAATTGTAGAAGTATTGTGGCAAACTACACAGTTTGAACATCACACTAAACCTCTTCCCCGTCTCTTCAAACAACTGAATTTCACACACATTTTGGTTCTTCCTTTCAAATCAACAAAA